AGTAGGGGGAGAAGGTGGAGGAAGGTAAAGTAGGGGGAGAAGGTGGAGGAAGGGAGAGTAGAGGGAGAAGGTGGAGGAAGGGAGAGTAGAGGGAGAAGGTGGAGGAAGGTAGAGTAGGGGGAGAAGGTGGAGGAAGGGAGAGTAGAGGGAGAAGGTGGAGGAAGGTAGAGTAGGGGGAGAAGGTGGAGGAAGGGAGAGTAGAGGGAGAAGATGGAGTAGAGGGAGAAGGTGGATGAAGGTAGAGTAGGGGGAGGAAGGTAGAGTAGAGGGAGAAGGTGGAGTAGGGGGAGAAGGTGGAGGAAGGTAAAGTAGGGGGAGAAGGTGGAGGAAGGTAGAGTAGAGAGAGAAGGTGGATGAAGGTAGAGTAGAGGGAGAAGGTGGAGGAAGGTGGAGGAAGGTAGAGTAGTAGGGGCTATAGGGGGAGATGGTGAAATAGATAGTTGAGGGGGTGAAGGCACAGTAGATAAAAGAGGGGGAGGAGGTGGATATAGAGACAGGAAGGGGTGAAGGCACAGTAGATAAAAGAGGGGGAGGTATAGAAGGTAGAGGAGTTGAGTATTTGATGCAGATAGAGGGAAGGAGAAGGTGCAGTAGATAGAGGAGGGGGAGAAGGTGGAAATAGAGAGAGAGGGGGAAAGGTGGAGTAGATAAAAGAGGAAGGGGAGGCCGTGCAGATAGAGAGAGAGAGAATGTGCAGTAGATAGAGGGGGAGAAGGTGAATGAGAAATAGTAGGCAAAGAAGGTGGATAAGACAAAGTAGGAGAAGGTGAAAGGGAAAGGGCAGGGAGCAGAGGAAGATGGAAGGGTGCTTGCGTGCGCATGGCCCTGTAGACATCTCCAAAAGCTCTCACTGTGGGCTTCCTTTATAGTGTACTTGCTTCCCAAATCGGTGCTTGTGCAAGGGTCAGTGAAGTATCAGTGATAGCTCATCGCTCATCTTTCGCTCACATAGCCAAGTATTATGCTTCTGGGTTTAAAAAAAATGGCGTTCGGCACCTGGTGTCCATAGTGAGTGTGGGAAAGAGGTGGGGGAGTGAAAATGGAGCGAAAGTGACGCACAGATAGACTGCTAGACTGGTAGATAGATAGACACATACACGCACGCACGCACGCACGCACGCACGCGTGAAGAGGAAATTTCATCCTAATCTTCTAAGTGATGTTGCATTGACTGTCAGCTTTATTACCACATCACTTGCCTGTGATCAACGAGATCGGTGCAAAAGGCATTTGCAGCGTAATCTCCAGTTAATAATTCTAAATGATTAACGTGAAAGGAAAAATTCCACGAGAATTCATCCGTGTAATATAGAGAAAGGCAGGTAAAGTGGAAGTAACGAGCAAAAGGACCGGTAGCACGATAGGTCATTTCAAGCATTGCCAGATGTCTACTGGTCACATCTAAACTAATTTAATCGTGGTGACGCACTGTTCAATTATAGCTCACGTGTAGAACTTTGGCTAAAAGGTTTTTCTTTTGTCAGTCACAAGGCAGGTGCATTTTATGCATCTTATAGTTACCATTATTACACAAAAATATCAATTGACCCAACACAATGAAGCACATCAGAGAGAGAGTTGGGGTGCACATTAAATAAAGATTTAAACCACTGAGGGCGCCACCGAAATTGAGAAAGAGAAGGGGGGTCTGACATCTGAGTGCCTTAAGCCTAGTGCAGACCTGCGCTTTTTGGTTGCTCGTCGCTGCAACCTGCAACCGCAAGCGATCGGTCGATGTGTCACCGCTGTCATGTATTGCGTCCACGAGATGGCGTGACTAGTCTAGAATAAAAACAAGTGGAGTGACCGCCAAAATGCCGTGCATGTTTTGTTTGTGAACCTACACAGAAACACTTGAATAGATACACAGAAACACTTGGACAGAGGCCAAGACGTAACACAGAGGCCAAGACATAACAACCGCGTGTGCGCACACATGCGATTTCGAAGCAATTCTAGAACAATTTGGGAGCGATTGGAAGCGACGAGTCGCTGAAAATCAAAACAGTTTGATTTCTTGCAACTCGCCGCAAGCGACCAGAATCGCTACGGGTTGCAGTTGCACGTTCCCGCAGACGTAGCGATTTCACAGCAATTTTTACAGAATCGCTGTCAAGTTGCATGAAAAAGTCGCAGGTCTGCGCTAGGCTTTACGTGCGTGCTGGGGTGGTTTGCGTGAGAGAGGTTTGAGCTGGCGAGCCATGGCATCTTTGTTCGTCTTTGCAGAGCGGACCTACACGGCATACACGTAACTCTCACAGATGGCAGTAAGTAGCATGAAGCGTACACTATATATAGCTCTCCCTCACAAATGCAATGGAGATTACTACACGTGCTGTCGTTTGCTTGCACTAACCTGCGTGTGCTGTTGGTCCTCCGTCTTGCAGCACTATACGCCCCCCCCCACACACACACACACACACACACACACACACACACACACACACACACACGCGCCTTCTGAGATCGGTTTGCTCATTGGTTTACATATCGTTTTGCCTTGGTCGCATCGCACGTTGCGACAGACGCTTCTATGCGCTGTTTCGTTCCTCCTTGTCCCTATGTCGTTGCTCCCTTGTCATTGCTCACCGTCCTTGTGCACGTGCTCGCGTCCTCTTCACGTTTTTCTTTGATATTTTGTGAAAGACAACATCAGAACGTCTTTTGTTCTTCCTTATGTATGAGTTGTTGTTTCTATCAAGGCCCTCATTTTTCTCTTCACCATCCTCTGTCTTTCGTTCCTCCCATTTAAGTGCTGCTTCTTTGTTGTCAATTTGTTCGGTGCCCTTCCCTGTGTTTTGTTCTTTCCCCATGTTATCAACTGCTGTTATCATGTAAGGTGTGTTTTCACTTTGTTCCATGACCTTCCCTGTTTTGTTCTTCCTCGTAGGCACTTTGCACTATGTTCTCTGGCACATTTGAGCATCACAAAACTGTTGTCATCATCATGGTCCGTTCTTTCTCTCATTCATTCTTTCTTTCTCTCTCTCTCTCTCTCTCTCTCTCTGTAGCTGTCTCTCTCTCTCTGTAGCTGTCTCTCTCTCTCTCTGTCTCTCTCTCTCTCTCTCTCTCTCTCTCCTCTCGTCTCGTCTTCTCTATCTCTCATCTCTCTCCTCATCTCTTTCTCTCTCTCTCTCTCTGCTCTCTTCTCTGCTCTCTCTCTCTCTCTCTTCTCATCTCTCCTCTCTCTCTCTCTCCCTCTCGTATCTCTCTTTCTCTCCCTTCTTCTCCTCTCTCTCTCTTTCTCTCCGCTTCTCTCTCTCCTCTCATCTCTCCTTTCTCTCCGCGCCTTTTCTCTCTCTCTTTCTCTTCTCCTTCTACTCTCCCCCTCACTTCTCTCTCTCTCTCTTTCTCTCGCTTCTCTCTCTCTCTGCACTTCTCTTCTCTTGCTCTCTCTCTTTCTCTTCGCTTCTCTCTCTCTCTCATTCTCTCCGTTCTCTCTCCCCGCTCTATCCCTGCTTTAGCATTGTTAGCGCAAATTGTATGATTTCATGTTCGGTTTTCGTCATCTGTCCGCAGCTGATGACTCGCGCATTCAGCCTGCAACACTGGCGTCTGTGCCGGAAAGTGTATGTAGTGCATGCTTGCCCTCGCTGCCGCCTGTGCTTGTGAAGGTTTCGAGGGTTTCACCCGTAGAGTACACGCAGAGGTCACTTACGGAACCTTACTTATAAAAGCAGCCGCCGCCCAGTGTCCGCTAAAAAACGTCTCGTTAACGGCGTGCGCCCACCGAGCGATCCGGACCCACCACGTTGGGTTACGTTTATCGTCCAGCAAAACCTCACACTCACTCCTTTTTGGTTTTCGGTACCAGCCGAGGAACTGCCTGCAAGTGTGGACGTTCCTGAGCGATTCCCTCAAGGTGGCGCCGTCACGTGAGGGCACGCTGCCGACCCGCGTCGGGGATTGCAGCTGGCGAGCGCTGTCGCGTAGTTTAGCTGCTAATACATAACTCACCGACGTAGCTACGATGTTACAGTGCCGGTTTCATTCACCGCTTTCCACAGCACGGTCGGCTCAACTACGGGTGTCTGGTTCGCGGCGGTCCCGAAGAGACTGGAGCCTGTGTATTGATATGTATATATTTATAGTGTTTTACTAAGTCTCTGAAATTTTTAGACAGTGAGAAAATTTCCGATTTTTCTCGTTGCCAAGTCACTGAATATAGCTTTTGTCTGGAACGCTCTGAGAACTGCTGTAAAAGGCTTTGCCTTATTATCTACGAATCCTGAGCATAATGTTAACGTGTGTATACTGTAACGAGATATTTAATAGATAGGATATGAAGCAGGATATAATATTAACTATACCATTGAATCACTCGTCTCTATCTGCTCCTCTCTCTCTCATCTTCTCTCTCTCTCTCTTCTGCTCTCTCTCTCCTCTCTCTCTCTCTCTCTCTCTCTCTTCTCTCTCTTCTCTCTCTCCTCTCTCCTCTCATCTCTCTTCTCTTCGCTCGTCTCTCTCTCTCTTGCGGCTCTCCTCTCTCTCTAATCTCTCTCTATTAATAAGGCTTCCCTTGGTGTCGCAGTTTGAAGTCGTTCGCATCACGTGAGCAAGAGATGTGTTCCTCAATTGCTGGCAGATGTGAGCATGACCCGTGCTTCGTTCGATTTTGCTATCCATTGTTGAGGTGGCATTAAGCTCCACCCAGTGTAGGAATGCATGGCGGGCATATCCTGAAGTAACGGTCTTCCTACAGAAGTCTCAACTCCCGGATCTAGAGCTTCATAGCAGAGCTTCTTTTGCACTGAAGGTACCTGGCTTTTGCGGTACTATTGCTTTCTTATGGTCTGGTGTATTTCTGCTCCTTAAAATCTATAACATCGTGTTTGTCATAAGCAACGACGGTAGCGGATGGATGGGTGTAGGGAGAATTCTCTATCTCACTGTGGATCTAACGATGGAGCTCGCGCTTATGTTCAGCATCACAACTTTCATTGGCCTTCCGCGGCTAAAGTCCGTGCAGAAACGACCTTTTCGAGATTGTTTAATATATAGTACATGTATGATGTGTATATGTTATGTATTATGTACAATAACGGTAATGTATAACGATAATGACATTGGAAATCTTAGCTTGAAGCTGCATCCCAAATCCAATGTAATTCTGGATTTTGACAGAGGTTGCCTGCAACAACTTTAGTTGTTATAGCCAGTTGTTATAAGTTTTTATTTAGGGAAGATACACTAACCTACTCTACGTTCTTTTAGTCAAAGTAGTTACGAAATGGGTTCTGCGATTGCCGCCGCACAACAGCAATGTTGTGCTAGGTGGTACAGAAAGAAACCACTGTAATAATAACGGTACATGGTCTTGATGAGTGATAGGCGATCGTTTTAATACAATTTGTTTCGTTTTTACCCTCCGACTTAGGTCGTGGCGCGCGAAGCTGAAAACTGTCAGCGTGTTAGAGCGGTGTGATTATTAAACCTCAAATTTCGCAGTACGACATGATGGGCTCCGACAGTCCTTCACTGTTATGATAGCTAAGGGTGTCGCGACGTATCCATGACACGCGTAAATTGGCGCGGCAGCGTGCGCGATCGGTTGCCCGATCAGAAGAGACTATTCGCGATCGACGAAATTCGTAAATCCGCAGCCCATCTATGATTTTAGCTTTCGCGAAAGATGGTTCGCGATAGTGGTAGAGCTTGCACCGCGCAGCGCTTCGCCTGACGCCGTCAGTCCGCCGCGCTGAGAGTTTGTGGGTGCTTTGATTTCGCTCGCGTCGAGTCCTGCTGCGCGCCTCTGCTGCGGTTCCGGTCAAGACTTTAGTTTGTAGCGATAGTCGCCCCCTGCACTCGCCGTGCTTCGTCGCGCGACAGTGCACGTCGCACTCTCGGGAGAGTGGTTGATTATAATGCGTCATGTCAAGCTAACAGTAGTGAAGAGGCAGGTTTAATTGCCTGACCGTGAGGCTAGGCCCGTAATTTGTGCCTGTGTATAATCTGACGCTATTTCATGTCTAATCTCGCATCAATTGTAAGAGATTTCTAGGTGCAAGCTTTATTGTGTGTGGTAAGACGCGTCGCTACAGATAGACTGTTCCACTGCACCTGTGCTAGTACTGTGGTTTGAGATTTTTGTTGAGTGACTGAAACTGGCTGCAGGTGGACAACGGGGGGGCGGGGGGGGCGCAGAATTTAGCCTATACCTAGAATCCCTTCCAGCTCTGCATCAGGTGTGTTCTGCTGTTGAACCGTAGAAACTAAAAATAGATAGAGCTGACACCTGCAAGAAGGTGCGGCTCACACTACTTGTTAAATTGACTACGTCACGAAATTTTCTATAGTAAATTTATAACATTTTTGTTGCCATTTTTTTAGCATTCAAAGTACGAACTAACCGGACCTAAACGCATCCTCAAATCTTACCTATAAATTTGTTTCTCACTAGTTGAAAATCCCAAAAAACCTGGACGATTGAATATTGTGTTACCTGAATATTAATTGCTTGCTATGGGCTATGTCCCGAGTCATGATGTTATGTCACATTAGCTTTAAGTAACTATTAGCCACAGACCAGGTTGCCTGCGGTTAGAGTTATAGCTATTAGACTAGATAGTTATAGCTGCGTATCGTATAGGGCGGTTGCGGCTTAAGTTACTACGAGCTAGTCTCATCATCGACACAATATAGTAAAAAACAAGTACTAATGCCGCAATTATACCATACAAAGTGAAGCAGAATTATTTGTGAAAAGTGGAAATATTTTTTTTATTCTGTACTATTTACCGGTGACGTAAACTTTAATAGTGTTCAAGTAATGTTATGAACACTATTATTATGTTAATAGGTGTGAGCTTGGTCTGTGTGTTGAAGCCCATCCGTGCAGCAGCAGGCGCGAGTTCACGATAACCAGATTACACTGTGAATACGGGAGAATTGTGTGGGAGTGCGTGTGCACCTAATAAGGAAGCTGGAGTGGAGCGCGTTTATATAATGGTTAAAATATATTATAAATATACGTACTCGTGAGCACACCAGCCAACCTGTTGCACTGACGTTTTTTAATATGGTAAATGTAAATGTTGCGTATTGTAATACTCAGGCTTCTCATTGACTAAAAACTTACGTTCTGTGAAGTTACGTGTTCGTTCGATTACCAGATTTTATTGACGTAATTTCGTATATATTAATACATTTTTAACGCGAAGGCTGTATGG